ATAAAGTTGTGACATGATCGTCAAAAAAAAAAAAAAAAAATACAGTAATATATGAGGACTATTTTTAAATAACAAATACTATTCTGTACTGCAATAAATAATAAACTTTAAACATGTTAGCAGATAGCATATAAAAATTACCTCTAAATAACAGGTGCTGTTTTACAGTTTCTTGTATATTTTTATTAAAAAATTCAATGAAAAATTTTTAATACAAGTGATAGTCAGAAAGAGTTGGTATAACAATATGGGTGCGGTTAGTTAAAAGGAAGCTTATGGCATTTTTTGCAAAAATGAGCTAACTATACTAGCATATAAAGTAGGCAATTTTCTATGTAATTTAATGTTTAAAATATTAATTTACATAATAAAATTTTTATCGATGTCTACTTTTTTAAATGCTATATACGATTAGATGTAATCTAAAATTAGAATTTAGTAATCCAGTTGTCGATCCTTGCTGCGGAGTCATAGAAAAGCGTTCATGTGGTTTGCTAATTTATGTTGATCCAACAGGTTATACTAATAATAGATCATTGTCATTGTTATTGTTACACCAAATTTGAAATGTGATTTTCTCAAAATGGAAAAAAAGCCATTAGCCCCTCATAGGACGACAAGCTTCTGATTGGCTGATGTAAATCAATTGTCTGGGTAACTAATTTATACAGTTTAAAGTACTTTTTCAAATTGCAATATTTCACAAATTTGCTTATGAAAAATTTCGTAATTAGGTTTAGAAGAGCGTTGCTCATCGCTATACAAAATAATCTCAAAATAATCCCCAAAACAGAGGACTTTACTTAGAAGTGAAGTTACTATGTATTATTATATTTTGCAATTAGTAAAACGGGTATACAAGTACTAATTGCAAAAACAGTCAAGTAAAAAGAACAATCAAGATGTTTAAGATAAAGTTAGATTTTGAAATAAACTCTCACAAGAAGCTATTGAGTTATCATATTTAGATTTTAAATTACTTATTTTAATAAAACTTAATACTTATATTACTTTATTCTTGTATAGAACTTATAAATAAGTATATAGATATAATATGGCTTTAGAATAGATAGTACATGTAGTATTTATTAATAATAGTATAAAGATGGTAATGCATTGGTTGTAATAACTGAAAATAGAATTATTATTTAAGAGTTTATGTGAATAAAGAATGAATTTTTTTTTCTTTAATAGATACAAATACGAATATAGTAATAATTAGAGAAATATATAGTATAAGTGATATTGCTAATTAAAAATATATTTCGAGGATAGTAACATCTTTAGCGAAGGCAGTAATAGTTAAAAATAAGATTTTTTATGAAAAATAAATAATAGTATATAAGCTTCGCTGGTATAAAGTTTCATCTGTTATTTGATTGACCAATTAGCACAATTTGATTGGTTAATTATCACGGAAAATCACGGGTAGATCTACAAAAATTAGCCAATCAGACGTTTGTCTTCCTATGAATTAGCCCCCTTTTAACTGACCGCGCCTCATATTGGGAATATATTTTAGGTGTTTTATATATTATTTATATACTTTTGGCTATAGCTACTGTATTACTGATTTTATTAGAAAATGAAGATATAACTTAGGTTTGGATATAACCTAGTGGAAATATAACTCAGGTAATGTATAAAATTAATCTTTTAAAATGTTTTTAAACACCTTAATAATGAGTTTAAATATATTATTTTAATTAGTAAAAAATATTTAACCATACTTACTATTAAAATAAGTAAAATACAAAGCTCATGGTTTATACATTAAAAGATTTTAGAGAGATGGTTTATTCCGGTCAATAAGCATTTTGCCTCAAACCACCTTTTGCATTACTGTAGTAAATAGAGGTATTGATCAGGATTTTTTGCTATGGACTTCCGTTATCGACACTAAACTATTATTAAAAATTTTTTAGCGAACAAAACATGATAAAACTTAAGGAGCAATAATTCTTTCAGTGACGCATTATTGTACAATAATATATGAAATTAGGCAAATAAGTAATCGAGCAGCCGGGCTATTTTTTTTGTACAGTATTCACAAAACTTTCGAAGATATTTAATAAAGCACATAGAATTGATAATAGCAGTTCAAGCATTGAGTTTAAATAGTACTTATCATAGCAATTAAGTGTCACTACAATTACAGTATTATCAAACAGCACTGTGATACTCGAGCAAATCTCATAGGAAATCGCATCTAGAGTGATGCGTGAAAGAACCTTTAGCATTCAATATGAGAACAAATTTATTTTAATGCCGGCCAAAATTAGTCTCAATATATTTGTAATTTACATGGAGGATTGTTTTAGTCATTCTGAGCTATAAAACCGTCAGCGAAGTAACTAGTATAATACCGTATAAAAGTTAAAAAAATCTATATTGCTTTACGTATAATATCGTATTAACTACGTATACAAATAAAGATTTGCCTCCAAAACAGTCTAACAGCCTATTTATTTGTTCACATGTTTAAATAAGCATTATACAAACGTATTGATATGTGGTTTTATGTTTTCTGCATTAAAGAAGTTAGATACACGAAGTAAATTTAAAGTATAAATTATTACATATACCAATGTGGTTTAAACATATACAACGTAGAATAGGGTATGCAGTACTAATGTATGAAGTACTACATGTTATGTTTTATTTGTTATGTTTTATTGGTTGGTATTAACCGACAGATATGAATGCATATACAGAGAAAGTTTTATTAATGCCGATAAAAGGTAACTGTCACCACCAAGATAGAAAACCATTTATGTAGTATATACCGTTAGTTGCTCGTGGAGGTTGTTATCTTGGATCGTTCCAGTAATTATTTTTACACATTTTTTTTTACTATTAACGGTTAATAAATTAAATATATAATAAATCGAGAAACCAGAATTGAGATATATAGTTAGAATTAAGCTGAGTCTAGTAAGGTGATAAGTTCAAATTAATTTTTTTTTCTTTTGAATCACTTTTGAAATCACTTATTTATAATTATGTACGTATAGTATATACAGTAAATTATACAGTATTACGGTATGTGTAAAACAGAAGATGACTACCCATCAAATTTAAAGTTGGAAGCATACTGCGTATAACGTTAATAAATGATTAAATGCTATACAGTATACAATAATTCTAAATTTAAAAATACATTTGTTAAGAAATATACATTATATATTAAAATTGGCAATTTTTAAACAATAAAGCACAAAGATTAAGTTTAAATTTAAAATATATAGTTAAAATTATCATAACGAAAATAAACGATACGTAGTAAACGATAATAAACGATAGTAACGATAATAACGATAACAGATTAAACGGGAATTTTTATATTTTAGTGATGCATTAGGTAAGGTCCAATAGAAGAAATACAGATAAAACAATATTATTTTATGCATTTAGCAGTAAATTTTTAAGTATGCTAAAAAATGTGTTTTTTTTTTACAGTATTGAGAAAATGATTAGTTACAAGTAATAATATGTGCATAAAAAAAATTTATTGTCAATATTTCATATTAAACAACGATTTGTTATTTGTTTTTGAGAAATAAATAATGCAACAAGTTGAATAAAAAGTTTCGTTTTAAACAAAAGGTGATTGGTATGAGTACAATTTATAATCCACAAGTCTCATTTTTGAAACTGAGAAAATGTATTTCCGCATTCATATATTCATATATCGAACATATTCTTATACAATTGTTTTAACTGCGGCCGTGTCTTCATAATGTTAAATTAATCATCCAATAAAATTTCTATTATTGAATAACTGCACTGCGATTGAGGATTTATTGATAAATAATATTAATAATCGATATATTCGGCTTTCGGATACGTGTGAGAAATTAAGTGGCTAATGTTTACTAAATAAAGAAGCAGGCGAGCTCCATGAGCATAGAACTATTCTGTGCAAGGAAAAGGGTCATGTAAAAAAAGTTATTATAAAATATTTTCTTAAACAGTCGGAAAAAATTGGGTTATACGTACATGTTATAAAGTATTAAGAGGACTTGATGACCCTAAATGCATAATTTGACTTCGTTTAAACCCTCAACGAAGTGCTTGTTTGTTTTCTTTCCTAATTTTGACAATGTATCATTTTTCGGTCAATATAATGAAAGGTTTCACTGATGATTATCTTGGAGTAATATCGTTATATCGTTATAGAAATTTTTAAAGACGTACGTATAATTTTTCAATAATATTTTCCAGTATATTCTTTTTTTCAATGAAAGTGGCTGTGTCTGGAAATTTTCATGTTGTTATTATTACACGTGACTTTTACTCAGCAATAATTTTATATAAGAAGGTTATTCCACTCATTGACACTAATTTTTTTTCAATTTCTAAAAAGAATAAAATAAATTAAATAGATTAAATTCATGCAATTCTGCAATTACTGAGTTATGCAATTAGAGGCATTATAATAAACTTTTCTACTGTACTTTTCGCTGTTTGTGTAAATCTAAACAAACCCAAGCATTATTATTCGTACGATTTTTGGGTGCACAGGTAGAAGATAATTTATTATTCGTATATTAAAATAATTTTTCGTTCTGTTAACCTTAATTTTTTTCTAACGCTCCTTTGGATTCTTCTTTTAATCTCCTCTCACTGACCCTTTTTTGTCATTCTTTTATTCCTCTTAATTTCCTTTCTCCTCCTTCTCTTTCATCCTCTACATTTTCCCTTTTATTTTCCTCCTTTCCGATTAACATTTCTTGATTTTATACTATTCGTTATTACAAGTTTAGTATTCAATTCTAAATAATTTTTATCGTTGTAACCTACAACTTGAAGATACTAGTTATTATTTTAATTCTTTTTAATTTTTATCATTTTCATCAACTATATATTTTTTATTATTATATAAAATCCAAATAAATAAGATTTTTTTGAAAATCCTAAACTTTAAAAAATTAGTACTCTCGTAATCAAAAAAAAAAAAAGTGGTAAATAAGTTTTAAGAAAAAAAAAAACAATAACCCATGGATTCTCCATTTGACTCTCCGGAAAATACTCCTCCAAGACACTCGAGTATACCAACGATCTCGACCTCGTCTTGTACAGATCCAGAACCTAGACAAATAAATAGAGGTTTCACTCTACCAACACCTGGGTCTCCTAAACGTGGCTATAAAAAGCCTGCTAAACCTCGAGAGTTTGCTAAAAGCGCTAAAAAACGTCAATCTGTTTTAGCTCTGGGTAGTATTACTCATTTACAACATTTTTATGCAAAGAGAGGAATAATTTTTAAACCAAAAAAACCAAAAAATAAGTACGTTTTTTATTTATAATTTTTTTTTTCTTATATCTTTGGTTACATTTTTTGTTACATTTTTGGTTAACAATTTTTTTTTTACAATTTTATCTTAATTTAGACAAGAAGCTGAGAAACTTAGCATAATCACAAATATGTCTGACCTTTTAAATATTACTGAAGAACCTGATGATTTTCCTCCTACTCCTCTACCACCTTCTCCCCCTCCACTCCCTTCTTTCATCACTAATAAATTGGATGTTGAAACTGATCCTGATGTCCTCTTGGCTAATTGTCACGCTGATATTCAAGCAATGTTAGATGCTTGGTGTATGGTTACTGGTGAAGTAAAAGCTGAAGCTGATCCTGTACCTGTTGATGTTTTGGCTGCTATTGAAACTACTACAAAAGCTCTTCAATCTGTAAAAAGTTATTCAATGTTTAAAGAAGATCTTTCTGATGATGCTCTTACTAAAATTCGTGCTACTGCTTTAGAAGTTCTTGAAATGATTAGTAATTTAGAAAAAGAGCATCGTGATGATGACACTGATGATAGTAGCAGTGAAGATGGCCATATATACAAAGAATCTAATTATAGATCATTAGATAGTCAACGTGAAATTTTGAAAAAATATTTATTGGTAGTCGAGGATAATTTACTCTTTGATGATAAAGATATTTATCATAATGTTTCTTATTTAAGAACTTCAACTGATGAAGAAAGGAATGGTAATGATGCTCCAATAACTCCTCCTTTATCACCTGGTCACCCAAATAGTGATTGGGTGGATCCTGATCATTTTGGTGGTAATACTATTGGTATTTATCCTTTTATCTACTATACTTTTATCTATTTAAATTATTTATTTATTTATTTCTAATTTTTTTATTATCTATTTTCTTTCGCCATCAAATTTTTATTAGCTCGTTATCATGCTTTTTTGGAAGCTCATCGCCCATCAAAGTCTAAACAAGCCCCTGGTTATACTCCACTTCCGGATCCTTCTATAGATAAAACTGAATTTTTGGCTTCTTTAGCGTGTGTATTTTTGATTTTATCTATTTTTATTGCGCTATATTTATTGTTAATATTAATTATTATTATTATTATTATAGCGATGGTAAATTACTTTGCACCATTTACAATACAATAGTACGACGTTCGAAACGTCCTTTCGGTTTTATTGATAAGATACATGAGGACACATCAAGAACTTATCGTGCAACTGAAAATTTAAAATTCTTTATAGCGTAAGGATTTTATTTATTGCATTTAATTAATAATTCATTTATCATTTTATTTATTAATTATTTATTCAATTATAATATATAGTGCTTCTAGATTCCGTTTCGATATCAAATTTGACGATATTAATGTAACAGAAGTTGTCAAATTGACAAATACGGGTAAAGCTCACGTAAGTTATCCTAAATCAATTTTTTCTTTTGTGATTTTAACTTTAATTAATATTTATTTATTCTTTTTTTATTTATATAGCTGGAAAAAAATTCTTGAGATATTTTGTGAAAAAGCTATGCAAGAACTCATATCAACTGGTTCATATAAACAATATCCTTTATCACGAGTTTCATCCATGTACGTGCATGAAGCTTTCTCAAATTCACAAATACAACTCCAAAAAACTAAGATGGCGGGTGTTAGTTCCGATGATCTTGCTTCTGCAGTTAATGCCAAACTGTTTGTCCAATCAAATAGTAGTGGTGAAGATAGCTCATAGTCAATCATTTTGGAATTTGATTCAAAAAATAAAATAAAAAAAATACCTCCCCATAATATGAACATTGTTTTTTTTTAAAAAAAGAAAAAAAGAAGCCAATACTATTCAAGGTTGGTGGGATATTTTATAGATGATAATTTGAAAGGTCTAGGAACATTATGCTCCCTGATTTTTCACAATGATAATTTAATTATTTTTTAGCCACTCGCTGGTCGATAATTACAAAAATAAATATTATTTTTTTTTATATTTTTATATTACTATATTTTTTTATATATATATTTTATTGTTTAGCAAAAATTATTTTCTATGATCTATCCCTTTTTTGTATAGCTTTTTTTTTTCTTTATATATATATTATCAAATTTTACAATAGTACAGATTCTGAATTCGAACTTGATAATGATTATAATAGATGCTTTTTTTTCGAACAAAAATATTGTTTTTTTGTGTAAGTTACTAGATTATTAATAGTATATATGTAGTATGTAAATGCTATCTTAGCGAACTTGGTGTTTGAAGAAAAATAATGCTGCTAGATTATGTTGTAGCATGTGGTTTTTATTAGTATTGTTATTTTTTTGGTCAAATTCATATTTAAGATTGGGTTAGTAGGAAAAAAAATATGAAAATTTTTGCCATATTCCGATTATTCGACACATGAAAAATAAACAACTACTTAAAGTATATCTATTTCCTTTTCTATTTTATTGTAATTCAAAAGTAACAAATAGTTACAAATTATGTATATATACAATTTAATAAATTGCCGAAATTTTTCTAAAAATATACTATATAATAATTAATTTCATTGCTGAATTTATTTATGTTTATTAATAAATTCGGTTAACAAAGAATTTAATACAATTATTTTTAAAACAATATTTTTTTTTTCTGTAATTACGTACCATTCTTTGAATTAAACTAAGTTTGGTTTAAATAAAATTAAATACCTCGGACTTGGTATTCTCGGCAAAATGATCGACTTAAATATCCATCTTTGATAACAAATAAAATGATACATAAAATTGCTCATACTATGTATGTCGATATACAGTAAATACGTACTATAATGTGATTAATTCATTACTTCATATTTTTCGAGTAAGCATAATATATTTTTTTTTTTATAATCAAAAAAACAAAATAGTAAACCAACCCCATAGAAGTATATTTCGATGGCAAATCTTTTTATTGTACGTATCAAAAAGTCCTTTTCTTTTTAAGGTGGAGTCTTCTTTTCCGATACTGTTAGTTTGGCTAAATTTTTTATGGTAAGGTTGCAATTATTGCTTATTAAAGCAGGTTTATACTAGTCATATATTATACACAATTTGTTTATTTTTTTATTTTTGTATTAAAACTTGCAATCGGCCTAAGTTAGATTAGGGTTAGGGTAAAATTACGGTAAAGTTAGGAGTTTTTTTAGGCCAATTATTGCCGATCATTTAATGTTGGTCAACTGATTGCAGGTTTTAATCTGACGCACAACTAGTGTTCAATGATAAGCCGGCTTATCTTTGAACACTACGCACAGCTAGGGATGTGTTACATAAATTACAATTTTACATTACATATAATTTTACGTAAGTTTCAAAAAACCAAATTTTATGTAATTTTACATAAAGTACCGGATTTACAAAAAGTTTGGCCAACATTATTGCATCATTTGATTTGAATGTACAATCCGAATTGTAACTCATAAATCACTGAAATTTGATCTCAGAAACTAAATATCGTGTGTTCAAACTTACGATTACATGAAAATTTACAGAATCTTACACAAAATTACATAAAATCACACAAAATTTCAGTAATTTTACATTCCTACACATAGCATGTAGAACTTTCTCATTTTTCGGGTCTGATTATGAGGTAGCTGGCCAATAATAAATGAGTTTATATTCATGTGATACACTTTCTGGTAAAAAACAGATAATTATTAAACAAACCAAGCACAATTTACATATTACAATTTTACTTTAAAGCATGTTGTAAAAGAGTAAAACTATTCACCTAGGTTAAAATATAGCTTATAAATACAAAAGCTTTATTAAAAAAAGGTTCTATAACAAGTTATATATTCTTTATTACTATTTTTTATACTTTATTTATAATTAGCAAAACTATACTATTATATATATAAAATAAATCAAACATTTTATAAAGGCTTTTAAAAACAATTTAAATATATTTATAAACAAAATAAACAAGTTAATAATTTGGGTAATAAAAGAAAAAAAAATTAAAAAAAAAACAAAAAAACAACTTTGAAGTTTACAAATTAAGCAATACAATATATTTCAGTCAGGAATATACTATAAATAGATATTGAAGATCGCACCTTTTATGATATAAGAATATCGATCAGAAAAGTCTAAATTTCATAGCACATGAGCACTAACCAATCAAATCAATCAAACATTCTATATACAAAATAAATAATTTATTATTAAACGAAACAACAAGCAAAGCTTCACTTTTATTAAAAATTTTAAATAGTAATTTTATTTTGCTTAATTATTACCGCATTACTAATTTATATTGCAATATTTGATTTGTAACATTAAACAATAACACCCATATACATAGTATTATTCAACAATACTACTTATATATCAATTCACAATCTAAAGCTACTTAAAACGTCTCAAGTGTTTTCTTCTGTGAACTATATTGATACCTATAATAGTTAAATTAAAACTATAAAAGTTTTAGTTTAAATAAACTCATAACTCTTTGTTAAATATTATACAAAATCTTAAAACCATTTTAAGTTAACTAATGACAATTTTTGGCTTCTTATACAAAGTAAATATCTATTTTTAATGTCTCATTTATCTTTTTAACAAGAGTTGATCGGTTTTAATTAACTAAACTAGACATCTTGAACTACATGTTCAAAGCTTATTAAACTTAAATAATTATTAAAAAAATTTTTTTTTAAAAGTAATGATGTTTGAGGGGTAAAAGACACGTAAGAACCAATCAAATTCAAGAATCTATTCGTAAATCATTCTAGAATGTAATTCCTAATTTGGTATATTCCCTAACTGTATTTTTATTACCTTTTGCTATATAGTAGACAATACTTTAACATTTAATTAGTATATTTACTTTTTATTGCATGATTTAGTGTAATTTAACTTAGTTTTTTTAGAAATACTTTAATATAAATTCTAAAAATTATTAGATTCAAATGTCTCCTATATGCTGATACACAATATATATATTTAAAAAGTTGTTTACACTTTTGCTAATGCCACTTTTAGCTAGCCTCTAACTCTTTTGATCTAATTACATATACTGTAGTACAAACAGAGATTATGTATCTTTTAAATTCTTGTATTTTGGCTAGTTTTAAAAAAAGCTATAAACAATTCACTATCAAAATTTTATTAGCATGTTGTTATAGAACGAATTAATTATTAGTTTATTATTTTATTATTATTTATTATTTATTATTTATTATCTTAGAATATTATTATTATTAGCTTGTATTATTATTAACATGTCGCTTAGTCGTTTAGTCGCCTAGTTGCTTAGTTGCTTAGTTGCTTAGTCGCTTAGTCGCCTAGTCGCTTAGTCGCTTAGTCGCTCAGTCGCTTAGCTCACAGATATATAAACCCCACTAATTTCCCCAAGTTAGAACAAGCAACAGACACCCCTCTTCCCTT